GATGTTAGATCACTTTAATAGTACAAAAACGAAACATGATTTGAGTGCTGTTTTAACAATTTAAGTAAAAGAGCAGATACCTGCATGACTCCAATAAAAGTATTGATATAACTCCTTTACCTAAGTAAAAAAAAAAATGATATATGCTCTTAAAAAAGGTTACATGCATTTAATTTTCATCTTTTGTTCACTGTGTTGGGAGAGAAGCATAAAAGAATACTGCCTTGGTCTAAATTTCTCCTACGTTAAAATGTCAGACCAGATAACAGATTGAATTAAACAGAAGCCCTACATGAGCAGCTCAATGGTTTTCCTGATCTGATATCCATAGCATTCAAACTAACTGTTCTCCAACTGGACACATTTCCTGCAGGTTCTTGATTTTCCCTCTGCTTTGTTGCAGCTGTAGCCTCATATTATCAATTTGTATAAAAGTAATGGTCCAATATTGAGGAGAAAAGGAGGAGAAAATACATCTATTTGTGTTCAACTGTAGTAAGTAGACAGTGAAAAGGGCTGCTTAAGTACGTATAGGTATAAACAAGTAACTGCAAATAAAGAGCAGTACATGTTCATATGCATAATTAGCTAATAAAGATACCAGAAATAAATTAGTCCAATAATCTAATTTGTTCCTTTGAGAGGTATGTAAAGAAATAGTATATAGGAGCTTTTTTTTAAATACTTGAAAATTTTATAAATCATACTATAAAGTAATTATTACCAAAATTGTTAAATACAAAGAGGAACACTTATATTTCCCAGCTCTGTTTAAAATTAGGAACAATTAACCACACAACCTTTAACTGTATACTTAAAGAAAAGTTTGTTTTTAAGAGAGAAAGTTTAACTGCAGCTGTCTCCACTACATGTGGAAATATCCTACCCAAACACATAGAGAAACCCAAAACTGGCTTTTTTTTTTTTTTAAAAAAAGGGACAAAGTCCGCAGCATGACTTGAAAAGTTTCCTCCTCGTAACTGTGTCGCTGTAGAACCTTGCAGTGAGGGAGATTTTTACTGCAGTATCTACAGTGGTATTAAATAAGGCTGATGTTTTATTCATAGAGGTTTGATTTTTAAAAATACTTTATTTCTGCTTAAAAAAATAAATAATCCCAATGCATTTAAGATGATAGTTTAAAATGAGATAGTATGTGATATCATTACACATCAGAATCAAGTAGGTTTGCACTTAGAAGGAATTTGACTTGGTGATGGTGCAGACACATTTGATATATATACAGAATACAGAGTCTATAGCTATATGAAATATAAAGCATACAATATACTATATACAATATATAGTATATGCCGGTAGCTATATACACATTAGACTGTGCATTAATGTTATGCAGAAAGTCTGGAGATGCTACGTTGGAGTAGTTCTATGTCTTCAATGGGGAGGGATGGGCATTGTCAGTGTCATGGGGGCGTATGGGCCTTGTTGATAAGGCTGGTAGAGGATGGGAAGAAACTGTTGCTGTGGCATGAGATTTTGATCCTGATGGACCGCAGCTCCTTCCAGAGGGAAGTGTCTGAAATAGTTTGTGGCAGGGGTGCGAGGGATCAGCCACAATCTTCCCTCCACACCTCAGAGTCCTGGAGGCATACACATCCTAGAGAGATGGTAGATTGCAGCCAATCACCTTCTCTGCAGATATTTTATGCCAAACGATCATGCACTAAGGCAGGGGTCTTCAACGTTTTCCTGGCCAAGGAACCACAAACTGATGGGGGGCCCCCATAATTATATATATTGTATGAAATTGTGTTTTATCAAGCTGGTCTTATAGTCACTCTATTACATCTGAGTAATGGAACAAAAGTCATTTGGCCCTGGGATTATTTAAGTATTTCTGATTCCTGGTTGATGGGACAGGTGTTGTGAATAAAACGGTGCCCAGCTTGAACAAGCTCCTGTGTGTCACTGAATATTGTGCATTGATGACTAAAAGACATCTTCTGCCTCCATTTATCTGTTTACTACAGTGTGTTGAATTCATGTTAATGTGTATTTAAAGACATTTCAATTAGTGGGAAAAAAAATTGCAGGGGGGGAATATAAAAAAGAAGTCTGATCAACCTAACCTTTTGCGACCCCCATGCAGAACCTACGTGGACCCTCAAGGGGGTCGCGGACCCCCTGTTTAAGACCCACAAAATAGAACATTTCTTTTTATTGCTGAGCTATAAGACTATTAAATTAAACAGAATTAGTCAGAAATATTCCACAGTCATCCTGCCTTTTCGATCATTATTTTTTTTTTCCATCTATTTATCAAATTGAGCCCTTATTTTGAAAAACTGCAGCATACCCTTTCCGGTCGTGCTGCTGTGTAACTTGCCAGCTGGCAGATGAGCTGGAGGGGCTGCAGGCAGTCAGTCAGTGAAAGTGTAGGCGGAGACCAGCCTGGTGCAGAAAACTCAGCCTCCTCTGGATCGCATTCAACTCCCCCCTCTCCCCCTAACCTCCCCCCCACAAAAACCCCTGATCCAAACAGTGAGACCTGAAGAGGAAAGGAAACAAGAAAAAAAAAAAAAAAGACGAGGTGCTCCTAACTTCTTTTCACCTCTATCTGCCAGGAATTGTCTTCCGGTGTTGACTTTTTTTTTTTTTTGCGAGCACCGCAACAAAGTTGAGGGTGAGAAATGTGAAGCTACCGGCTTGCCTGTTTCCAACCAGCCTCCAAGACTCCCCCCCTCCCTCCACATAATCCATGCAGTACAGTGCAATGGTACGTGAACATGCAGAACCTTACTGCTTTTAATGTTGTGATAAAGTTCTGTGTTTTGCATCATTTATGTTTTTGTTTTTTTTCTCATGCGCATCTTTTAATACTGTCCTTTCTTTGGCTGTGTGGTTTTGAAATGTTGGAGGAAAATCTGCAGAAAGTACCTTGAACTTGAACTTTGTGCAGACTGATGACAGCTCTGCAGAAACACGTGTTTTTTTTTTTTTTTTTTTTAAATGTAGATCCTTTTTGAGTGAGAAACACAACTTTATGCATGAAAAAGTTGCACACTGTATGCATGTTTTCCTTGAACTTTATTAGCAGCAGGGGCGTTACTTAGGGGGGGTCCTAAGGGGCAATTTTCAACACTAGATTTTCTGAGAAGGAAGTCTTCCATTTATTACCATTTTAAAATAGAAGTCATTAAATAGACAGGAGTCTATATATATATATATATATATATAGAGAGAGAGAGAGAGAATTAAAATCGTCGACAAGGAGAAGTTGAAAAACAACTATAAACATGCACTCGTTTTTGCAACCGTTACTGTAGGAAGCACAGTTTCTTTTGTACAGTGATTTCATTATACACATACATAAAATGTTTCATTTGTACTTTTAAGCCCACTTTAAACTTCCACACCTACCTTATGGAGCGTAGCATCACAGGGAAGTGTTTACATTCCCATTTCAGGCTAAGCATTGATGAAATTTTAATTTCAGAAATAGGGGGAAGCAAGTACTTTTTAATATAAAATATTTGTTTGATCATTCAATCATAGACCCGATTCAGTGGCGCATCAGAAGTTTGTAAAGTGAGATTTTTAGGAGTGACAGCGGTGAAAGTCAAAAGACGGTGGGCCAATCAGGAGCTTGTGGGCGGTTTAAACTCAGGGAAATGGGCTTCAGCTTGAGCGGTTTTCTTCTTGGTCCTTGTGCTCGACGAATGTCTGTGTACTGTAGCGTAACATTGTTTTTGGACAGTAAAAAGTGCAGGGGGTCATGTTATTTTCCTTTTTGCAGTTTGTTACTGGTTTCTACAAGGAAACAATCACTGACAATGGAGGTTATGTGCTCGCATGTCCATTTTGGATAATTTTCATAAATTACGCATCAACCTGCTTGGACTATATTAAATAGTTATTAAAAGCAAAACAACTCTATTTATCCCTTGGCATTACTCCTTCAGGGAAATTCTGGTTCCAGTTAAGGGCGGAGCTAGATGGGGGGCCAGAGGTGGCCATGACCCTTAACATTTTTTTTCTCTCAAGTAGAATTTTCAAAACAATAAAATTTTTGATATAAAAACAATTACTTGACAACAAAAACACTGTGGTCAATTATGCACATCAATATTCTAACATTAGAGATGATTAGTACAGAATTCCTGCTCTTTCAGAACTAGATTTTGTTTTAAATGCCATAAAGAGAAAATAATGTGACTCTACAAGTCTTCAGTGAAATCATAGATACTGTAAATAACTATTTTAATAAAAACCTATTAAATTATCAAGTTATATAGATATTAGTACTTGTAAATATCAATTTAATGAAGAACAATATTGATAAAAGTAGGTAAGTAATGAAGACGGAAAAGATGTTCGCTCCATTTATCCAATATAGCTTTTATCTAGACGGATGTTTCAATTTATTTGTCAGCAAAGGCTGTAGGAAACTATAGTTTGTCTTTATTTAAAAATATGGACATTGTGGTTGTTCATGTTCCTGTTGGAACAGTGCAGATTAACCCTGAGGTTGTGGTGCCACCCCTCAGTGTACATTGGTTATTGCCTGGCCCCCCTTATAAAACATTTCTGGCTACGCCTCTGGTCCCTGTAGTTGATATAAAGTACAAAGAGTTAAAGCCACAGACAATATAAAAAGAGTGTATTTAGTACAAAAAAAGCATTAAAAGTTGCAATGTTGTAACATTTTCCCCTTAGATATAAAATAGTTTTGTCTGCACTGTAGAGAACAATGAGTTAATGCCAAAAAGAAAAGTTTGGTAATTATCAAATACCTAACCTGGATCCCCCCTCCCCTCCCCTCCTCTGTGTGACCAAAGCTCCGGTCCGAAGTCCCTGAAGCTCATAAAATAATTCAGCCGAAGTGAAGGCAGTAAATGAATTGAAGGAGAGGAGGGGGGGTGGATATGACTGGAGAGGGAGGAAGAGGAGGGGTGTGACTGTGTAATTACGTGAAAGAGAGAGAGAGAGGAGAGAGAGAGAGGAGAGAGAGAGAGAGAGGGAGAGAAGGGAGGCTAGAAAAAAGACAGAGAGGAAAAAAGTTGGATCTGATTTGCTGGAATCGCGGCGGAGCGACTGAATGTGGAAGGTTTCCTCTCAGCTCAGGCTGGAAGCTTTTAGCAGAGGGTGACTGATCCTCTGCGCTCTGCGCGCTGCGACTAAATACGCACAGAGAGAGACACAGGACGCGCAGCTCCAACTTGCTTCTTCTCTTATTTTTTTTATTTATATTTTTTTGCAGCTCCTTCATATATATATATATATATATATAAATATCTCTGCGGTGGCGACAATCTGTGGATCGCAACTCTTCATGGATATTGTTGGATAATTTCTATCCGGATCGCGCGCTCACACGCTCCCTCTCTCTGTTCGGTGCGCACCGGTGGGTCCAGGACGATGGAGTGATCGGAGGAATAAGTCCACCTACAATCACTTTTCTCCCCCCCCCTTCCCCTTCCTTCCCCGGCTCGACATGTATTCGCCGATTTGTCTAACTCAGGTATTCTGCTCTGGTTCTTCTCATTTTTCTTTCTGTTGTGAAGTTGGTGCTGAGTTTGGCACATAGTAGGTGAGCTGGAAGGTGTTTGCGCGCCCACAAATAACCTTTTAATCTTTTATGGCAAAGAAATAAAATAAAAATACAATTATATAGACTAACCTAACGTGAAGGAAATATTTTTGAAATAACCAACTTTATGTATTTTATTGATTATAATAAAATTGATTTTAAATTAGTGTGCAGCAAGAAATTATGATTCTGCAGTTGATTTAAAATCAAATAATTGATTCACTTAAAAAAAACTAAAAAATGTATGTATTTTTCACTGCTCTATTGTGCAAACCCAATGCATGACCCTAAGGTCATATAAAACCACAGAATAATCCACTTATTTAGGTTTCCTCTTTTTTTTTTAAACATTGCTTTAAATTCTTGCAATCTACAATAGCAGCATACTGGAAAAAATAATGCATCCTTTTTTTTGTGCATCTACTTTAGTAACTTTAACACAATTGTTTACTGTTCTAACCTGCTTAAAATAACTAAATGATGCAAAAAAAAAAAAAAATAATCCAGCAGTAACAGAGCCATTGTGAATTCCCTCATCTTGTTGTTTAAACAATAAACAAAACGCTTAACAGTGACACTGTTAACGCTTTAATAGCTGTAATAATTGTAACTCACCGCTGATCGTTACCCAGTTTTACTTGTATAATAACAATGCTGTAAAATCAATGTTCATCTTTGCAATGATTACTGTACTTAATGCAATGTTGCAGCTTGTTTTCCTAGCTTGTGTAAAAATGCAATCATGACAGCCGACCGCAGTCTTTCACTAAAGTGGAAAACAGGCTGGTTGGTTTTTCCGGTTAGTGAATTTATATTCACTGTAGCTCAGAGCTTTTTCTTTCTTTCTTTTTAAACCGCAATATATATATCTTTATATGAAACAGACTGGTTGCACAGAGCGGAGGTGTGAAAAATGGTTTAGTTTTATTGTTGAAAAATAAACAACTAATCCCTTTACATTATCAGTGTTGGTGTAAAATCTAATTTTATTGTAAAAGCTGCAAAAATATTTGGATGAAACTTTTTTTTTAAATAAATAAATCATGTGGTCCAGGTTTTCTCTAAATGATGGCCGTTACAGTTTAAGTTTTATAAGTCAGTTATTGTTGGTTAGATTTTCTGTTTTTGTATTTAAAAACCTTTTAGCTAATATGTGTAGAATGATGAGGTGCTTGAATATTAAATATAAGCTCATATTCAATATTGCATCATTTTTTTAAACTTTCCTCACAAGCCTCAGCCCAACCTGATCTATGTTTATAAAGCAGAACATCTTCCCCTCAAACATAAATGTTTTTTCTTTAAATAAATGCCCCCCTCAGTGCTATTGGAGGAGATAAAGCTACTTTCTCTTCAGGAAGATCACATGCACTGATAAGGTTGATTCAGCGCTTGGACAGGGGTAGCTGCAGACTGTTTTGGCTGACTCAGTTTGACTGTTTATATTTTACTTGGCATAAGTCAGTGATTGACTGAGATGTGGTTTAGTTTGTGCTTAAGAGGATTGTGCTTTTATGGCCTCTGCTGAAGTGCACAGCTCAGGCCTTGGCCAAGTCATTTATCTTTACAGCTTTAGGCTTTGTTAGCCTGCTTAAAAGAAAAATAATAATAATAATGGCTCTAATTGGGATATATTTAGAGTGTTTTGCAGAAAACAAATGGGTTTTCTCTTTAGAAACAGCTGCTTCTGAGGCTAATTTAGCAGAATTTCAAAGTTTAGTTTTGTCGTTTTAATTGGACGTGACATGAAAATAAGCTCTGCTTATTATTTTATAACTCATCCAAATGGGAAGCTACACAGCTCTCATTCAGTGTGATGTCTTGCTTTTAAAATAAAGGTTGATCTGCGGAGTTGAAAAAAAATCTCCTTTCATTTTTTAAAACGTTTACGTTAGGAGATTTTGAGTTTGACTGTGCAGAGACGAAATGTGGCTTCCAGCGGCATGCGGGAGCAAACACACACACACACCCTCTCACACACTGAGAGTGGATTTCTGTGGTTTCCCAATGCCCGCTTTGCCTGACTGCTTTCAAAAAGAACAATGTGTGGTTTCACTCCTCAAAAGCCTGCTTAAACAAGAGGTGGTGGGGAAGGTGGTGGTGGGGGGGTGCTTCTTACACTTATTAAATTTGACATTTTAATGACCCGAAAGCTAAGATAATTCAACGTTTCCGTTTCTCACCTGGAGGAGCTTCTATTTGTGACAGGATTGTTCGTCCAAATCCAGAGGGAAATGAGTTAAAACTGGGTGCTTAAGTGTCACCCTTGTTTGAAAATAGAAGATTAAAGTGTTAGCATATAATTAAATTTTGATTTTTTTTTTTTGCTTTTTTAATATAGAGAGAATTGTCAAATGCAAATCTTTTTTTTTTAAATGTATACTCTTTAGATGAAAGGTATGTAAGTGTGCTTAACGCAGAGGGAACAGGGAAATTTATGCTGGAAATTTTACATTTTTTCTTTTCTAATTTAGAAAAATTAAATAAAATGCTTTTTAAGTAAGTAAATAAAAAATTGTGTGATATGTTTTGTTAAAACCCATTCAGATGAATTTCTCTTTCCAATTTATGCCAAAAATCAAAGTTTGCTAAAATGCCACTGCCTGTCGTTTCCCATTTATCCATGGAGGAGATCTTCTTAACATCCGACTTTGCGACTCTATCCTGTTCAGAAAGTAATCCTCAGTTCTTAGTAAGCTCGGGATGAGCTCACTTTGGAAGAGGGAGAGTTTGATGGGAGAAATGCAGAGCAGAGGCCTGCAGCGTGACCAGAAAATACGATTTCTCACAGAAAATGCGGGATTCTTTGTCAGAGCGGAATGTGAAAAATAGAATAAAAATGAGACATTGTGGAAGAGATTTTATTTGTCCTTTTTTAAAAATATTTCTCCTGTTTTTTTTCTATTTTTATTTTGAATGAGATGATTAAATTTCCTCCTCCTTCCTCTCCTCTCTGATCCTCCAGGATGAATTTCATCCCTTCATCGAGGCGCTGCTCCCTCACGTCCGCGCCATCGCCTACACGTGGTTTAACCTACAGGCCCGAAAACGCAAGTACTTCAAGAAGCACGAGAAGCGGATGTCCAAGGATGAGGAGCGTGCCGTCAAGGACGAGCTCCTGAGCGAGAAGCCCGAGGTCAAGCAGAAGTGGGCCTCCAGGCTCCTGGCCAAGCTTCGGAAGGACATTCGGCAGGAGTACCGGGAGGACTTCGTCCTCAGCGTGACGGGCAAGAAGCCGCCGTGCTGCGTGCTGTCCAACCCCGACCAGAAGGGCAAGATCCGCCGGATCGACTGCTTGCGGCAGGCCGACAAAGTCTGGCGCCTGGACCTGGTGATGGTCATCCTCTTCAAGGGCATCCCTCTGGAAAGTACAGACGGCGAGCGCCTCGTCAAGTCTCCACATTGCACCAACCCAGCACTTTGTGTCCAGCCTCACCACATAACAGTATCAGTCAAGGAGCTGGACTTGTTTCTAGCATACTATGTCCAGGACCAAGGTATGTTTTCAGCCCAGACTGTGTATAGATAGATTTTTCCCTGTGTGTGTGTGTGTGTGGGATGGTTTGGCGAGGTCAGGGGTCACATGTGTTAGTTTCTGGCATCCCTGCTCAGTCTGGGCAGCAGTCATCGTTGTGAGCGCCAGACAAATAAACATGAGAAACGTGAGGAGTAAAACAGCTTAGACACAATCTATTATACGTTTTCTTTTTAACTTTTCAAGCACGGCTCATTACCGAGGAAAAAGCTAAATGTGTTTTCAGTACGAAATATTTCTAACCTCATCTTAGCTGCAGCGGCTCCTGCTAATGTGCAGTCGTTGTTTTTGTGTGCGTATATGTGTGTGCGTCTGTGCATTGGCTTACACTATCTAACACACACTGCCTGTCGGCTGGTTAAGCACTGACAGTTATGGAAAGTCGTTGCACCAAAGCAGGAACCTTTAATGGGATTATTATTATTTTAATGTGAAGGATCAAAATAGGATTTTTTTCATTGCAAAAAACTAGTTTCTTTTAATAAGTAGTGTTGCAACAGAATGATTTTTTTCCTATTTTAAAAATTTGAATAAATTTCTCATCAATGTTTTTGCTGCAGTAGAAACTGCACACTTTTCAAATGTTAAAACAGCATGAATATTTTTTCTTTTTAGAGCCTTCAGAATTTATTTACTTTCACTAAAAATGAATATTTTTATAGAAATCTAAAAATTATTATTATTATTAAATTATTTGAAATCAGTTCAGTAAAATTTTAAATTGCGGCAATTACAATAAAGGCAAAAAGAGTGAATTGAATCCAGTCATAAAGTGAAATTTAATAGAGACAAGTTCATGTCATGCTAAATGCTTTTTTCCCCCGCAAATTATAAAATTGATTAAATTAAAGTCTCACCATTTTTACTTTATAAAGCATCTACAGCAGCTTTGATGCATTTTTATGGGTTGAATAAAAATCAAATTAAAGTCAGAGTCATAACTGGGAATATTCTTTTTATTTTCCGTTTTTTTAGTGGACTTAAAACTATAACCCCCATCAAAGAGTCTACGTGAAAAGCTGTTATATTTAAAAATAGAGGCTGAGCAATTATGGAACCAATAACATCAATTAACTATTTTTTAGTATTTATTTAAGTCTATCAATGTTATGTGTGTAGATTTATTTTTGCTAATGTGGGAGCGTTTTTTTTTATTCCAAAAAACGTTTAATTTTTTTTTTTTTATCAAAATGCATTTAGAAAATCTGCTAATTTCTAAATTATCTTTATTATTTAAAAAATGCACCCCTCAATCATCCAGATATTATTTCAACATTTTTTTTATTTATTTGCTCTGATTAGTAATATCAGGTAAAAAAAAAATCTAGTCAATAAATGCATTTATATCATTTTCTATTTTTATTCTTGTTACTTTAGGTGATATAAAATCCTATAAAGGGTTAACAATCATTCACAAGCATTTTCATCATTTTTTGATGGATTCAAAATGAACCTCCTCTTCAAAAGCAAACTGCCAGAAATGTTTTCCTTTTATTTTTCTAATTAGCATCTCTGATTTTGTTTTATTTCTAAACACACCTGTTTTAGATTTGTGCCTAATTGTAAACTCATCACATTTTAGTAATTCCTTCAAGCCTAATAGAGCAGTAGAGTATTTTTAACATCTGGCGTTTTGTCCTGGAAGAGATTTAAATAAAGTTAGTACATGAAAGCTAAAGTTAATAAAGTAATCTTCCCTAATTTAACAAAATAAAAAAGTATTAACATCTTAATGCCACACAGTGGCTGCACCCTAATTCGTTTACCAGGAAACTATTTATTTGGCTGCTATTTATAATCGGAGATTATCTGTGAAAAGCAGCTGGGAGATTTAGATTTCTCCTCACTCTTCACACTTCATCACGACGAAAGTGTCATTTTTTCTTGGTGCTGAAATTGACTGATTTTGCCTCTTTGTGTGTGATGAGCTATCTAAAAAAAAAATACAAGTCCTTTATTTTGGGATAATTTATCACTCTCGACCTGCTTAAGTTCACTGTCTCTGCTGACAGCACAGGAATGCCTTCATTCCTGGATCGCTCCCTGATAAAATCCCCTTTCATTGAATCTGTAGCTGCAACATCGAAACGCTGCCACAGAGGGGAGGAACGGTGGTCTAGCTAGCTCATTACCATCAAATCCTGAGCGCCATTTTGTGTTTGATAAGTGCCAGGGAAAGCAGAAGGCACAGCACGGAGACAATAATGGTTGCCACTGGCACCGGGGTTGGCATCAGACCCTCCTTTTGTGTCTTTTGTAGGATGCCACCGCTCCTCTTGTTCTGCATCTGCTGCGTTTTAACCGGTCCTTGCCAACGTTTAACACAACACATCCTTATTTTTTATGCCATTTTTAGAGATTTTTGTGTAAAGAAAGTGTTTTTGCATAAAGATTGATGTGTTCTCACATATTTTCTGGAAGAATACAAATATATGTCGGCATCTTTTTTCCTCCTTTTCTGAGGTGAAATCTTTTCCTACTCCGTGAAGTCGCCTAGCGGACAACGAAACCCAGGCGGTGCAGCCATGTTGTGGGCAGCAAGGCGATGCGCCGCCATTTTGTTCTACGCAGTGCCAGGGAGGCAGGGCGGCTTGCCGGACGACGGTTGTTAGAGGTTCGGAGGTTGGCATCAAACCCTCTTTTGTCTGCGTGCAGCGTGCCTTTGATTCGTTGGTTGGCATCCGCAATGCGGTGGGCATGCTGGAAATTTGATTTTTTTTTTTCTTCCCCCCGATGATGGCAGAATGGATGCCGCCGCTGCCTTTTGTTCAGCTGCAACTGCACGAAACAAACAAACATACAATCAAACACAAAGAAACCAGCAAATCAGGCTCCGGCTGAAAGAGAATCCACTGTTTAGACTGTGCTTTTAATATATTGTTCTTTTTGTGTCCTGCTCTGCTGAACTGCGTAATCGAGTAACAGAAATTATTTAGCTGTCTCTATTTGCTCATCTGCTTTTTTTCTTTTTTTTTTTATAAAAGAGGATGTACATTTAGTGCATGTTTGGTGATAATCCCCGTGGTGCCTGGGAAAAGGTCGGCAGGTTGGCAGTGAGAGTCCCGGATGAATTTTGAGGGTATACTCAGAAAAAATGTGCCCCCTTGTTCTGGTGCACAGACGCGTTTAGCTAGGCCCGGCTGCAGCACCCATGTGCATGCCCAGATGAATGCCCGCTGGGAAGTAGGCTGAGGGCCTGGAATGAGAGAAGGAGGGGGGAGTCGGGATTCATGGCATCCATTGTGCCAACTGGCTGTTCAAACCTACTCCGAGCTTCTCTCACACACACACACATTCTCTGCAGAGGTACTCTGCACTGTTTTATCTGATTAAACCAGAAGTGCAATTTCTTTTCCCTTTCTTCTTTGAATCATCTCCTCTCCACACCTGCGCTCGTGTTTTTTTGCATATCCAGTTTGACAGCTTGATGGAATAGTTTGCAACAAGGCCTGGCGATACTCATCATGTCTGGACAAGCTGGGGGCTCTGTAAGCTTTGCTTTTGTGTTTTTGTCTCTTTGTTCAGCAACTGTACGTCTGCAGGACAGGAGAAAAGTTCTCTAACCCCAATCATTTATGCTGTGGAGTCCTTTCCTGACATCCCAGACAACAAACAAACAAAATGTTTTTTTTTTTTTGCCTCCATCAGTTATGTTTTGTAGGTAGGTGTTCAGATTAGGGAGATCCAGTCTTGGCTCTCTAAATCTGGTTAAATGTGGCTTGAGAAGATCATAGTTTAAAACATAATTTGCATTGCATGTGATTCCCAATAATAAAATAACTGTAGTCAATAAACATTTTTTGCTGGCCCCTAGAGTAGATCACCCCAGAGATAACCTCTAATTAAGCTTGAACAAAGAACCAGCTATGATAGTCTTAACCACAAATCAAAATATTTAACTGGCCATTTGTGAATTTCCCTTAGACTAAATAGACTCTGTGTGCCTGTGCTATAGCTAAGTGAAATTTAACCATAACTCTAAAAAAATTAAATAAAACAATATTCCCAAAACAAATGTGAAAAATATAGCTCTGCAATTCAAACTTTTGTTTTTTAAGTATGAATAAAAAGCAATCACTATAGCAATAAATCCTGGCGCTGAGTTGGGACGCCTTAAGAGGTCAGGGTCACGCTGTGTTCCCATTACTCCACTACTGAAAGTTAACACGACCATAAAACATCATTACCTTGACTTTGTAACGTTCTCTTTTTTTCACACCGTCACGATAGTTTTAGGAAATGGATAGATTACCTCTGAATGCAAACTGACATGTGAATGGAGACCCCGTTTTACGATCTCCAGACTTAACCTTTGGCCCCCCCGTCACCAACACCAGCCGTCACACTCTCCTGGGGTCAGGGCTTCTGCAAAGGGATGTGGCAGCGCGTCCTGTGAAGTTTAATTGAGCACAACAGATCGGTGAGAACACTGGTTTCAGGGCACGTGGAGGAGGAAGACTTTTTGTTTTGTTGTCTGGCGATCCCCTCGTTGACCTACTCAATCAGGGTCAAACCGCAGCGGTCGAAGAATTGCTCATGGTCTTTTGGCAACTGTTTGTCTCTGCTCCCTCCCCTCCCACCCCCTCTGCTGCTTTCTCTTCTGGTCTGGCTGGTGGTCCCTTGGTTCAGTGGCCTAAGTGAGGGGGAGTAATAGTCAGCGGCGGCCTCCTCCCACATACCCTCACCTCCCACCCTGCCCACATCCTTTAGGTCGGGTCATGATCCTTGAGAATGGCCATCGCTCGCTCCCTGCCCTACTTGAGGTAGCCGTTTGCATCTTCTTTTCTGCCTGGTTGCCTCAGAAGCTTTTGGTCAAACGTTTGGTAGTGAGGTCCGACCTTCCGGGTCACAGTGGAGGTCTGTGACTAAGCACAACATATAACCCTTCCCTCCCTCCCAGCTTCCCCTTATCCTCCTCAGCCATCAGAAATCACCCCAGTGGCACGCTGCCCAGCCAAATGG